GAGACTCCAGGCCTTGATGGACGTCGACTTGAGCGACGACAACTTGTCAATCGCCATCGAAACTTCCTTGCTGCTAAACTATCCTAAGCCGTGCTCCGCGATTCTCCCTGTGGCACTTTCGGTTTCTGTTGTCCGGTTTTCAGGCACATTATGTATCTCTCTTGTTCCCGCGTCCACCCCTCCCCTCCATACTCCCTCTCCATCCCCATCCCCTCACACCGCTGATGGGAACTCGCGCGGCAAGGCAACCGGAGACGCCAACGCACAAGCGGCCGACGAGGAAGCTGATGGACTTCCACCAAAGTCAAGCCCGAAGAGCAATGTTGCATTCTCTTTTCTTCCGGATTACCGGCTAGACCTCTCCGTTCGATCCCTCATCGGCTCCCGGAGCAGGCTCCAAGATGTGCCAAAGGTAGCTCAGCTCGTGGAAGCTCGTGTGCACGCGTGGTTCGAGGAGCGAGTGGTCGAGCCCCGAGTGCAAGTAGTCGGGCTGCCCGACCTATGGCCGCGCATGGGTCGGACCGGTGTCCGCACCGGTGACGACTCGGAAACCGGCTCGAACGCAGCTTCTCGGAGTGCCATGTCGGCTGATCTTGGAGATCATCATCTGGGGGATCGAGAACCCGAGGGCCTACGGTTCCGGGGTGGACTTGCCTCACGGCCCCAATTCGATAGTGTCTCGCGAACGAGCAGCTACAACGTCGAGACAGGGGACCTGCGCAGTCCCAGCTTGGTCCGAGAGGAGAGCTCGGGAGCGCTTAGCGAACAATTTCAGATGCCCGGCTCTTTGTCCGGCGCGGCTGCTCGCTGAGCAAGCTACCTTTCCTTGGTTACGTGTACCATAGATGACTACGAGTTTGGAAGAAAAAGTATCCGACTTACATAACGAACGGAGTTAGGTAAATAGGGGAATTGAACATCACCATGTGCACAACACAAACACAAATCTATCCACGAACAGGTAATGAATGTCATAAAATTTCATTGCCATGGTATATAACATAGTCGTCACATCAAGCTTTACACATTGCCACCCCCAAACTCATTTTAAACAGCAGCAACAGCAGCCTTGCCCAGACTGCCGAGGTACGACACACGGTGCGGGTTCTCATCGAGATCGTTGCTGCGGTTCAAGGGAGTCCACTTGGGTTCCTCCTGGAAGAGACGCATAGCCTTGACGTACTAAACCCAGACAGTCCCATTAGCACCCCATTCCACTCCACAGCTACACAATGGCAAACTTACGTTCTTCTCATCCGTCGTAAAGCGATGGTAGATACCCGCGGGGAGAATGATCAAATCATCCTTCACCAACTTGATGCGCACCCACTCGTCCTCCTTGCCACGGACATCAAAGTATCCCTCGCCGTCCCGGATGTAGCGGATTTCCTCGTCCTCGTGGAGATGCTCGTGGAAGAACATCTTCACCTTCTCCTCGTACACATCGCCCATGGTCTTGGGGGAGACGGTGACCTCATCGCGGTTCTTGTATCCGCGCTCGGCGGCCAGGGCATCGACGTCCTCGATTTTCGGGCAGTACTTGTAGAAAACACCCAGGGAGGCGAGGTAGGCTTCGTCGACGGGACGACCGTCGTCGTGGGGTTCGCGCTGGTCGCCCTGATAATCATGAAATGTCAGTCGGTGCCATAGTGGTAACCAATGGAGGGGTAAGTGACGAAACCATGCGAGGTGGGGAGGGGTGCAAGGCGGGATATATAGACAGGACGAACTCACCGGCTTGTTATCGTACCAGTAAGCCTTCATTTTTAACGAATTCTAATAGATACAAATGCACACAGAATCCACAAGTTCGACCAAAAAAACAAAGAACGAACAACCAGGAACGAGGATCAACGGCGAATATAAGTCCACCCCAAAGCCAATAAAGCCGCCGCGGGGCGCCGTGAAATAAGCCCCACGTGTGATTGGCTGTAATGCAAAACTTCGGCTCATTTCGTCATTACGTCAGCAAAGCACATCATCTCACCGCCTTCCGGAGTTTGAGCTCGGATTTAAGCTTTTCGGCCTTGGCTTGTCGCGCACGTGATGCGGATATGAGTTCTTTTTTCCGGGGCAAAAAAGGTTAATTATTCTATGGGATTAGTTTAGTAGTGAGTGAGATTCCGGTTGCGGAAGCATCAAGTTTCTTAGCTTCTCCCCTTTCCACACCTCCCCCCCCCTTGACGCTCTAGGCCATCCGTTCGCAAATGGCTTTTCGGGCTCGCTCCGTTGCCCTTCTTCGTTGGGGGTTGGAGCCGAGATCATCCCAGTTGAATGTGCTGGGTAGGAGACGTGGGTTGGCGACGGTGTCGGATGGGACGCGGTATGCTTTCTCTTCATCCTATACTGGGGTGTATGCAGTGGTTTGATGCTAATCCTAGCTTTCTTATAGAGCATACGATGTGGTGGTCATTGGAGGAGGTCATGCAGGCTCCGAAGCCTGCGCCGCGGCTGCTCGTTCAGGCGCCCGAACCGCATTAATCACGCCTTCGCTATCCAACATCGGTGTTTGTTCGTGTAATCCGAGTTTCGGTGGAATCGGAAAGGGTACTATGATCCGGGAAGTTGATGCGATGGATGGTGTCGCGGGACGAATCATCGACAAGGCCGGTATCATGTTTCGCACGCTGAACCGATCCAAGGGCCCGGCGGTTTGGGGTCCCCGTGCACAGATCGATCGCGATTTGTATAAGAAGTACATGCAGGAGGAGCTGCAGGGAACGGAAGGATTGAGTATCGTCGAGGGTAAGGTTGCGGATATTGTGGTGTCGACGGATGGGGTCGAGCATACTCCTGGGGCGCAGGGCAAGATTGTTGGTGTTAGGCTGGAGTCTGGCGAGGTTATACCGACTGGCAAGGTGGTCATTACGACGGGTACATTCTTGGGTGGGGAGATTCATATTGGGCTTGAAGCGTACCCGTCTGGTCGGATAGGCGAGGCTGCTACGTTTGGACTTAGTAAGTCTTTGCGGGATGCTGGGTTCACGCTGGGCCGTTTGAAGACGGGGACACCTCCGCGGTTGGATAGGAAGACGATCAACTTTGCGCCTTTGGAAGTCCAGGAGGGTGATCACCCTCCGAGCCCGTTCTCGTATCTCAACGGCAGGGTTCAGGTCGACGACGAGGCCCAGCTTACTTGCTGGATGACCTATACTAATGACGACGTCCACGATATTGTCAGAGCGAACTTGGACAAGACTATTCACATCCGCGAGACCGTTAGGGGTCCCAGATACTGTCCTTCGCTCGAGTCCAAGATCATCCGCTTCACCGATAAGAAGCGCCATCTGATCTGGCTCGAGCCAGAGGGATTCGCGCCAAACGACGTCATCTACCCCAATGGTATCTCCATGACTATCCCTGCCGACGCCCAGTACGCCATGCTGCGGAAGGTTCACGGTCTCGAGAACGTAACCATGCTTCAACCCGGCTACGGAGTCGAGTACGACTACATTGACCCACGCAATCTCCGCCCCACGCTCGAAACGAAACTTATCAGCGGTCTCTATCTCGCTGGCCAGATCAACGGTACCACAGGCTACGAAGAAGCCGCCGGACAGGGTATCATTGCCGGTACCAACGCAGGATTATCCGCCCAAGGTCGGGAACCGCTCACTCTCCGCCGGTCCGACGCATTCATCGGCATCATGATCGACGACCTGATCACGAAGGGCGTCTCCGAACCCTACCGCATGTTCACGACACGAAGCGAATACCGCATCACCACTCGCTCCGACAACGCCGACCTCCGTCTCACCCGGATGGCCCGCGAGGCCGGAATTGTCTCCGACAAGCGCTGGCGCCACTTCACGGAAACAGAAGCGCAGATTAACGAGCTCCAAACCCTCCTCGAGAACACCAAAATGTCCTCTTACGCCTGGGCCCGCAAGGGCTTCAAAGCCCGCATCGACCCCTCTCAACGCTCCGCCCTTGACCTCCTGTGTCTTAGCGAAAGCGACATCGACTCTCTCATCCCGCACATCGAATCCCCCACCGGCACCGTCTACTCCGCCTCTTCCTTCCCCCCGGAGATCCGCAACCGCGTCTCCATCGAAGGCCGCTACGCCCCCTTCGTGATCCGCCAGGAAAACGCAGCCAAGAAATCCCTCCGCGACGAGAACTTGTCTATCCCTGCGGACCTGGACTATGCTACTGTGAAAGGCATCAGCATCGAGGAAAAGCAGGCCCTTGAACGCGTCCGTCCCGTCAGTATCGGCATGGCGAGACGCATTGAAGGTGTTACTCCATCCGGTGTCCTGAGGGTGCTTATGCACGTGCATAGGACCAGTCGGGATAGGACTGCTCCCGCATCGGAGGGGCTTGAGGAGACCCCTGATGATGTTATCAGCCAGGCGCCTTAATTCGGTGGTGCCATCATTGATCACGTGGTTCTTGGGATATGGTGTTGGACGACGACTATACTACATTATTGCATATCACAGCGACAGGCGAATTGAGTCGACTGGACTAGGCGAGGCGTATCGGTGTCATTTCGGGGCTTGTATCAAAATTGAAAGATGGTTTGATTTAGAGGCCTCTTGTGTATATTATCATCATTATACCTTTCATATTTTCTTTTCGAGGTCTTTGTGTACTATATTTTTGACTTGTGGGTCTCGGATACATGCATATACCAATTCATCTCTCTTCTTGTTTATCCGCTATGGAGTAGGCGACCGATGGAATAGCATGGTTGGTGGTGAGACTTTCATAAACTATGTCCAATATTGGTACTACCCTCTCCACACACACACACACACACACACACCACTTGAGTCTTTATGATATATGTGAACTGCTTGGTGGGTGACTTTTTCATTGATACTGGGATGATTGTGACGTGCAGTACTAGTAGTAGAGAGGGTGGTTCGGGTCAGATACTACTACCATCATCGGATATATATTATAACTTTCAGCGACATTACCGACCGATGAAGTTGAACGTCTATCGAACCCCGCAACCGACCATACAATGCGAAAAAAAAAACTTGAAAGTAACACATAAAATAACAATGCTCTATTTATATATACATACATGCATACATACACCTTCACACAGACTTCTTCTATGATGCGACAACTATATGGGCTTGGGAATTGATCAAGGCTTCTTACCCGCCGCGGCGCGGGCAATGCGCTTCTGGACTTCTTCCTTAGAGAGAATTTTGACCGCGTCCCTGGAAAAGACGTAGCTCAGGCCGGACCAGAGGGTGGTTGCGGCGACGAGGTATCTTTTAACCAATGTTAGTATCAGGGTATCCCTCTGCAATAGTGCGAAAGGAAAAACAGATTCAAAATAATAAGTGGAAAGAAAGAAGGAAGGGAAAAATAAAAAAACAAAAACATACAACAGAAGGGATTCGCTGGTGGTCACCCACCCAACTACTAACCTCCCGGCGTGTGGCTTAAGTACGGCTGAGCGGACGGGAAGCCCTGTTTTCCACACCCTGTGGTCGTATGTACCAGACATACACCAGAACGGGTTTACATAGGCCTCTTCCCGCTTTACGCGCACACACTTTTACAACAGTGACGGGGCAAGGGTAACAATGATAACTGGGGAATAAAAGGGCCACTTACTGGAATCCGGTCATTGCTTCCCTCAAGCTCCAAGCGTCGATGACCGTCTCGGGAAGTACAGGAAGCGCAATCGCACTACCCACTAGGAGCAGCTGCAGGGCCGTATTGATCTTGGACACCGTAGTGGGCTTCACTTCGGCCGAGGGGAGCGAGAAATCCCAGTACCGGGCCATGGTCTTGGGCGGTGGCAGGGATATCCATCGGTAGTAGATTGCGGAAATGGCTAGTCCGACATCCCGTCCCAGGATGATTACAGCGAGCCAGACTGGGTTTGTTAGCCAATTGAGCCGAAGGTTCGTCGTTGGTTTATGCCTTGGGGACACAACGTACCTGGGATGGACCCGTTCACGGCCAGGCAGGTGACTCCGATGGTCATGAGCAGCTTGTCAGCCATCGGGTCGATGATCGTTCCAACAACGGTCTGCAAATTCCACCGCCGTGCGATGTAGCCGTCCACAAGATCTGTGATACCGGCGTATGCGAACAGACTGAGTGCGGCTACGTGGTGGTCATGGACGAGAAAGTAGCCTACCATAGGCGCCGCAAGTAGACGGGTGAACGTGAGAATGTTGGGGACGGTGTAGATATTTTCATGAGTCCGAGGCAGCTTGGCGAGAATTGGCGACTTCTTGAGGCTGTTTCGAGAGATATGACACGGTTAGGACTCGGGAGGGGCTGATAACAGAGCGCAGCCCTCGATAACCCTGAACGTCTGACAGGCGTAATGGTGAGTGCTCACCTTGAAGAGTCTGGATCCGTTGGCTTTTGTGCAGAGTATCGCTTTTGTTGGCCAACACTTTGTGCCAATTGCGAGTCTATAGCGCAAGAAAGGCTGGTCTTCTTTCGTAGTGTGCTGAACCTTGATTTAGCGATTTATCCCAATGGCCACATCCAGCTAATTCGTACTTTGCCTGAATCCTTGAGCGACTACCCAGGGTAATCGCCGAGAAGCTGCGTGCTTCTGTTACCGACATCTGCCATCCTCGCTGGGAGAGGGAAGTGTTCACCAGCGGGGTGGTGAATAGCCGAGCGCATTGCCTGGATGCACGTAAAGGCATTGGCAACATTGCAATCGCTGTCATGATGAAGCTGGTGAGTCGGTAGATGATGAAAAGATCCGGATGATGCTCGCGCGGTATCGCTCAGATATAGCGAATATTTGTTGAATGGTTCCCAACAGACAATGCTTTCCAGAAGCCCAGTAGGTGAAATAGAGCCAGCCGATGTAATTCAATTGGTGCAGAGTACTAGCAGATAACAAAAGTAGTCATGTCATAGAACAATATTAAACGTTCTGACCATATGACCACGTGACGCAGGAGAAAAGTAGCCGAAAGGAAAGAAGGCGAGATCGTGGAAACGAAAGAACAAACCCTGCAACCAACACTCAATGGTGTCGCTTGTAACCAAGGATCCGAGGCTTCTCAAGACTGGAATGAACGAAGTATACTACTGTCTGAACGGCGAGATTATCCGGCTTCCGCGAGACTCCTGGGCACGTGAGTCTCGGGTCAGGCGGCGATCAATCCAACTGGCGGAGTAATGGCCATCCACGACGCCGGATGATGATGACTCGAGACAATGAAGCGCGAGAAGGACCGGACGTTCGACAGGAAGCGAAAGGGGGACGAGAAGGAGAGTATAGACCTCGGTCGAGACTCGCGATGGGAGAAAATGCCGACGGAGTTTTGGTTCCTCCGAGGTCATGTGACTGTATATAGACATGGCAGACTGGAGCTGCTATGAGAGAAACAGTTCGTGATAGCAAGGTTGATGGGCAGTACTCACTATAGAGACCATTACAGGGATGTACAAGTGTGTAAGTGCTTGTTGTGTACGAGTTTTTCAACTCGCTCAGCTATTATATTGTACAATGTCATACGAGGAATATTTCCGGGTAGGATTTGGCACCTAAGTTGTTTCAATTTGAGATGATTAGATATAGGAAAAGACCCACACCATTGTTAGTGATAATGCATATTCTCCACAGTTTTACTGAGACCGGGACCCCACTAACAGGCTTGACATAACTTTGGATTAATAGAACTGTTCGAGCCCGAATCTCGCCCACTGCAATATCCACGCTTTGTCCATTGTTGTTCTGACCCCGAGAAAGATTAGGCAGTATGTTGAACGCATGGAGGCTCATCTGCCGGAAGTTCGGATACAGGGGTTCCTTGAGTTTCCGCTGCCGTATACTTAACAGGGCTGCCGGGTCTCTTGATTTCCCCTGAAGGATCCTGGATTATTGGTCCAGCATCAGCCGATGGCTCTCCTTGGATTTTCCGCCTCAGACACCAGTACAACACAACTACTACCAGGCCGCAGCCAGCCACGGCTCCAGCAACCGGCCCAGCAATCCACGCTCTTGAGGAATGTGTCTCTGGAGTTGGGCTAGGTGAAGGGGCAGCGGTTGTCGTAGAGGTCAAGGCAGTGGAAGTGGCGACAGCAGTCTTATTCTGAGCCTGCGTTGTAGTCACCAGTGATGGAAGCTTCTCAGCACCCGCCGTAATTGATAAGTGGTGGTAAGTGATATCTGCAGGTCCCAAAATTGTAGTACTCGTTCTTTCCATGGACATAATCGTTGTAGGGTCAGACCACCAGGAGCTCACATAGGTCTCGCATGATGCTCTTTGGGTTGAAGAAAAAATCCTGCAGGCCCTTGAGTCGATACCGATAGTGAACTTCTGGGGGTCTTGTTTGGTGCCGCTTGAGCTGTGTATGTATGTTGAAGGACCTACGGTTATCGTAGGGGGGATTCTGTTGGCCTCCATATCCATATCGCATCTAGGAAGTATGCCCTGATGTACAGTTCAGCACGATGGTAGTCTGGCCCTCCACGGTATTCACATCCACGATGCTTCCGGCAAGGTACCCGAGAAATTTGTTGTAATACATCCCATACCCCTCAATAACTTGAACATATGTATCTGTGACTGTTGTGGCCTCCGTTTTCATTGTTGTGGACGTGTACACTGTGTCTGACATTGCCAGTATAGGAAAGGCGACCATGAGGACGGCGAATGCTGAAAGCATGGCTCCCTTCACGTTCCGACAATGGCTTGTATACAGTTAGGTATTTGAAGAGAGCCAGAATATGCGACTCGTAAACGGCAGATGCTCATAGATCGCACAAGCGTGGTGCAGCTCCTATGAAAATCCCCTGGACCAGAAACGAGGCGCCCGTCAATGAATAGATAGCTAATGGCTTGCTATTTATGGTAATATATAAGTGAATGGAGTGAGTCAAAGAGAAAGAGGGGAAGAGACAAACAGTGAGGAGGCGACGGGGGCTGATGGACGAGGTTTCACGAACTGCCCCTGATGGTGCTTCTACCGCTGGATTCCCCACTTGAAGTTCATCTTTGTCACCTTGAATACCTGCCGAGAGCTCATGATGCGCAATGTTAGCTTAAAGCCTGCATTGATTGCAGGATTTTGTAGAGTGAAAGACCCAGCGTTCGCATCGTTTTACTCGGCCAGGACCGGAATAGACGGTAAATGGCTGGTCCCTGTTGCAGTAAGCCGAGCTCGTATGAACCAAGTCTGGTGGGCCAGACTGTAGTAGTTATGTTATCCAGAGACATTGATAGAATAGTAGGGTTCAGATGTTGCTAGTTCAGACCTTTCGGGACCAAGGCCAGGCTGTTGGACGTCTGCGAGGACGAGAAGGGGAGAGGAGCGGGATCGGGATGTCACCCGCTAACTAGTCGAACTCCTTCGTTGTTACCCTCACACCTCACCCTTTTCACCGAGCAGCATGTATCTTGCAAACACAGGACTCTTTACTAGAGGCCTTTATTTTAGAGCTCATTCTTCCCGAGATTATTGCCAGATGCCAGTGTTTATATTGAACGAGTTACCCCTGGTGCCACTGACTGGAGCGTTCGATTTTCATGATGGCACCTTGTCTCACGCGAGTCGGGTCGATAGGAGTTTGTGTCACACTTCTCACAGTCTGCCTCGAGGAGGATCCATAGTTTGTCTATGCGGAGTTTCACCGGTGGGTCACCATCCCGACGACAAATGAATCGATCGAAGTCCGCGAGCCGATACCCATTCTACAAAAGCAAGCCTCAGATAACGAAAGAGGCCCCTACAGAGTGAAATAGATGGATCCAACTGGACAATAGAATCTGTCGATGGCTTCGCTTGCTCAGTACCATTCATCGTTTCTCGGGGCTCTCAATAACTGGAGTCTGCTTAGTAAAGTGAGGTTAATTCCTATATCCTGAGAACTATGTACCCTGCAACTACAGGAAGTCTTGCAAATATCTGAGCCTATTAGTTAACCTAACGGATGCTTTCAACACTTCAGAATGCTAATCTATGAATTTCAACTCCAGACTTGAGCCGATCCTTTCGCATACAAAAGGTATCAGCCCAGCCGAACATTGAAAGCCGTCAATTGCCTTCGCCTGCAACCCGAAAGTGACAAACTGCGAACTAGCCCCCTTTAATCGATCAATAATGTATCACACACAAGCGGATTTCTCATTGTGGTCGGTGCCATGATACATCCCCGCTCTATTCATTGGTTTTAGGGCTATGAATGGAAGCCTAGGATACAAGGAGAGGCGGAGATATATGCTGGACTCTGGGCTATCAGAATGTTGTCGCATGCTGCTCAACATTGAGACAGATCTGGCTAGACAAGTGCGTAGCCCTGGCATTCACTCAAGGAAGTTGACAACAATCGGACTTTCATCCAGTTGAAATATCCAACCCACTCAGATGATGTATCGCAAGGAGCTTTATATGCCGGGGCTGTTCCAGTGCTTCCATGCCGGGTATTCCGCTAACAAATGACTCCAATTTTCGACAACTGATGATTGATCTGACTCTTAAGATGCTAGCTAGCTTGATATCATACAATGTGCTGGCCCAGTCAAACCAAGCTGTAACCTATAGCCTACTCTGATATTCTCACTTCTATCAAAACCAACCTTCTCCTGATTCTTCTAGCCACATATACAAAGTATTCCCACTGTATAATTTACACGCTATGTATCCCAAAACAGCTCGCTACTTGCTGCTCCTATCAAAAGGCCAAAAAAAAAAAAATCCCTATCAAGCTCCAATATCAACCTCCACGCCGCATCCCACCAAATATCACCAATAGCGAGCAGGTATATACATCTCAAACAGCACGTTACACAAAATACTCCCTCATCACAAATATCGACTCAGTCCTCTCCCCTAGCAAGAGCGCATTGAGACTGATCACTTATCACCATGCCACAAAACCACAAACCCCTATATTCCAACAACCACAATAGCACAGCAGAAGCCACAAGCCATGCCACAACCCACACGCCGGTCTACAAAGCTGAAACCGTACTTTTAGAGAGATAGCAATGCCCGACGTCTCACAAAAATGTAGTCTATCAGTCTAAACATTTTCTTCCATTCACCAGACCTCTGCGTAGGCTCTGGATCATTGCGTCTAACCGTCTAATAACCACCACCAGCACTATCATTGACGTAGCAAACCCGCCACAAGCAAACCAGCACACAGCATACGGTATACCAACCAATGAAAGCAGAACACAAGTTATCGATAGCCTCGTTTCTGGTTTCTTTTCTTTTTGTTGATGTCCACCGCCGTGTCCATGGCTACACTATGGCTACATTGGTAGGCTGTAATGATGGCTGAGACATCAGTCCTTACTATTGAATTGATTCGTATATGTCTTGGATGTTAGGGTATGGCTGTAATTGGGGTATCGTGTATACATTCCCCCGTAGGAGTTTGTCCATCGATAGATCGAATTCGTAACTGAGGTACGCGTTTGTTTCAGATACTGAAGTCAGGTGGCTAGGATAGTGGTAGTATGGTAGTTGGTTTCTGAGACAGATTGCGTCTTTGAAAAAGGAATAGTGGGCCTAGACTGTAGTTCAGCTCGTAAGAGGCTTGGTTGTGTTCTAGCTGGGTATCTATGCGTTTTACTGATGGAACTAAACTCTAGTTGATGAGAGAGAGGTATGTATGAAATATAGTAAAGTACTTTCACTTTACTACTAGTAGTAGACTACGCAAGTACACTACTTCCTTAGATCAGTACCAACATGCTACACATATACATAGACACCAGTAAATACCATCCAGCAACATCATCACACTTTTATACATCTACACAAGCAGTGCTAGTATAGACCACTGACACCTCCCCAGCTACACCACCAGGAAAAGATATCCGACGCAACAAACACAGAAGCGAGAAACTCTACTTCACCCATAGATCCCTCCCTCCCTCCCTCCCTCCCTCCCTTCCATCCAATCTATACACTACTAATGGCGCATCGCAGCGCACTGCACCGCACCTTACATCCCCTCCCGCTTTCCTCTCTCCCCTCCCCCAAAACCCAGTATTACCAGTGACACAAAAAACAAACACAAACCACCGCTCGTGTTGATACTCACACAACATGACCCATGTCCTAAAGGAGAAATCCCCCGATGATGTATCATTTATCCACTCATCCATCCATCCATCCATCCATCCATCCTATTGAATCCGAACCCTCAACATGGTACAGCATATTCCTTCCAGCAAGGGTATCCTATGCTTCCTTTCATTTCCCATCCTAGTCTATCTAATATCTATACTATAATCAAGCAAGGTACCCAACCCCATCGACAATAGTCCAGAACTCTACATTAATTAGCCTGTGGCAAAGCGAACACCAGCACGGCCCAGCACAGCACAGCACAGCACAGTACCGTAAGTACTCAGCCACATTCCTCATGCCTACCTGCCCAACATAGCAAAGCAGTACGTATACGTATGTCATCAGCCATCATGCCATGCCACCCCGTATGTCTGTGCGGTAGAGACGAAAAGGGAAAGGGAAACGGAAAGGGAAGAATGTCGACAAAGATCTCCTTCCTCCAAACTTTACTTGCCATGTGATTGACACAGCCATCAGACATACACATATACATACACGTTTCTTACATTTTACATTCTTGAGGGGGAGATGGCAGATTGATGGAAACTATGTACGCTAAGGACTTATGGTTACTACTTAGGTTAGGTTGATGGGAGGTATGTACATTCCTCGGGGAAGGGTCCCCCGGCATCCTTTTTCATCGGGGTGGCATGTAGTGTATTTACGATTTACTTGGTACTAAGATCGGTAGGTAGTTTGGTAGATAATGATATTACTAGTCTGGGTGGGTGGTAGAAAAGTAAGATGGATATGGCTGGATCATAGTCAGGGTATACGTAAGTTAGGACCGACTGAACATATAGTTAGCTAGTAGTGTCAAGCTAAAGGATGGGGAAGATGAAAATGGGAAGTGAAAGAAAGAAGAACCTTGCGTTTGCGTTTATTTTTCTGTCCTTTACCCATGGGGAAGGGAAGAAAGAAAGAAAACGGCTCTACCGTGTCTCATCGCAATGTACTCCGTAGGTACGTAGGTGATACGTACATAGTATGTAGGACGTGCATAGTACCAGACGATGCGATCTGATCCCATCTGCTGTGTATGTCTCTGAGGGTTATGTGTGGGTGGATGATGATGATGGATCGATCGGGGTTGGGTATCCACACAGGCAACGCAACCAGATCTACCCATCTATACCTAATCTACCTTGGCAGGTTAAGGCAAGGGTTGAAAGGCTCTTTGCAGTGTAGATCTAACCGAACCTATTACTACTAAGTATACCAAGTAAACCAACTGTCACTTCTTGATTCGTCAGCGTATATCTTGACCACCCAGTAACGATCCCCCAGGGTAAAGCAAAGTAAATGTAAGAGTCGAAGTTAGTAGTAGATGATATGTCCGATCTCATTCCATCTTCCCTTCCCACCCCACACACACACACACACACACACGCACCCATTCTGTCTCTGTCTCGGGTCTGAAGAAACCGCCATCTTAAAAAAAAAGAAAAGTAGAAAATAAAAATAATCCCGATCATATCCCGGCTAGGGTTTACTTACCGACTTTACCCCTTGCATTGCTTTTTCCTTTTCATGAGCCACGCTATCAAGTATCTTCACAGCGATAGTAAGAAAAAAAAATAAAATAAACCTGATAATATGTAGGCATTGACCTCGCTTAGCTGGGCATCTTGCATACCATATGCATATAGTCTACCGTCTGTCTGTCGAACCTGCACTCAACCTGATTACCGAAGAAAGCCGTGAAACCTGAACCTTCGTTAGTTGCCGCTTTCTATAGCCGGCTGTGTAAGCACTGTAGTGATAACTAGTTAGCCGAAGAATGTCCGTGCATTTGGTATAGTATACATATGTAGCCAAAATTTGTGGAAGGAATTGTCTGTGTGTTGCCTTGCCATCGCGGAATTCTCATTTGGAATGACAAATAATAAATTGACCATATTTGCGTCGAAAAGTGGTCCCGGGATATGTTGGTTTCTTTCTTTCCTGGAATTATCGGTTAGTACTAGTAAGTAGTAGCAAGCTATCCAACCCACATACATGATACTACTAATCGGCGAATATCCACCAGAACCAAGGAAGGCAGGGAAGTAAGTAAGTAGATAGTACTACTGAGTAAGTAGGGATTCTGCACTATTGAGAAAACAAGTCATTAGCCACAGGCAACTGACTAAGTATCTCCTAGACGAAACTTGGAATTCTGCACCATACTGTACCAGGCAGGTGTCTTCAGCCTCTCTCATTTTTCTCCCCCCCGAAACCCGGGCCCGAGATACTCGGCAGTCAGTCCAGTTAGTATCTGCAGGATGCATTTCCAAGATGAGAGTGAGTATGTCAGAAGACTCAAAAAGAAAGAGAGAAGGATTTCTTCAGCTGAGCCTCCTCCTTCTGCTCCTTCCTCTTATTCTCTTGCCATCATCATCTGCAAATGCGAGCGAGCGGGGCAACAAGAGTGTTGGCACTTGGCGGGAGGAGAGTAGTGATGTATACTAGGAGTAAGTTATTTTAGTCACTTCGTTGTCTGAATAACTGGATAACTAGCAGTTAGTTGGTTATCTTGTAAGTAGTAATGCGAGTAAGTAATCAGGAGAGCCGCGGTCACTCAGATAACTACTCACTACCACTACTTACTGTACGCTGTAATACATATAGTACCTGCCTAGTTGGGCAATTGGTCTGTTGAGCATTGCTTAAGTGCCCGTTTCAAAGCTTAAAGAATTAGAAACTCCTCAGTATTTAATTAAGAAAGTAAGTAGTAGTAGAGTTAACTTTCATCTACATACAGTAAGTGACTTATTTGTTTTTCTTTGCAGAGATGACGATGACATTGATATCTGATCTCTTGATAGCGCGATGAATAGATAGACAGATAACCCGACAAGAGGGCGTGTAACTAACAAAACATGCAATCTGTATGTAATTGAGGAACAAAATACGGTGTGAAGACCACCTCACTCACCACCAGCACCATCATCATCATCATCGAAATCACAAGATCCAAATTCCTTGCCCCGCGCGCCCGACAAAATTAATAATCATAATAATAGTAACTAACCAAGTAACTAACTGCTTGCAACTAGTTACATTGTAGTTAGCCAGCCGGCCTTCCGCACTCCGTCGTAAGTAGTGCTATTGCTAGATACAAGAGTGAAACAAATCTCCAAACATACCATGTCGATCTACATTTAGCAGCGCCCGAACTAGTCCGCAATCAGAGAGAACCAGTGGCTCAGACGCTAAATTAGGAGATGAGAAAATTGCGGACTTACGGTAGAAAACTAGCTACGTTCTCTAGTTAGTAGTTATTCACCTAATAATACATTCTACTAATATAGTTGTTAATCAAAGAATAAAATAAAATAAAAAGGCCGCGATGACGATGATGATGTTGCCGCTCACTGCCGCTGCCGCGTTAAGGGAAAAAAGGAATAAAAAAACTAAAAAAGCCGCCCCCTTATCGAACGAAACGAAGAAGTTTGGATACTCTGGAACTAGTGGCGTTGCGCTAGGAATTTGATCCCTAGTTTTTTTTTTTTTTTTTTTTTTTTTTTTTTTTTTTT